TGGAGAACTTGTTATTAAAGGAAGTTATTTTTGTTGTTTTTTTTTTTTTTTTTTTTATATGTTTTGAAAGATTAAAAAAAATTAAAACACATTGCATCATTTGATCAAAGCATGCTTTACAGGCAAGTTAAATACATGGTAGTATTGTACAAGCTGATAATGTAGACTTTAATTTAACAGGCTAACTGTGAAATCCTTTTTGTGGATTGGGGTTTTATTCAACTTCAAAATTTCTTAACAGTATCACACCTTCATCTCAGAATTGTTTTACTTATATTGTGAGAACTTAGAAAGTCTAGGAAAAATCAGTAAACTGTCCGAGATTTTTATAATAATGATTTGTGTAAAATGGGAATTATATTAATTTAAATGTCAGTTTTAACAGTATTTTGTCTAATATTTAATCGAAAACAGCTTAATTACATGCTACATATATATGTAAGCTGCCCAAAAAAGTGTCAGAAAACTAGAATGGTTTAAACATTCATATGTGTGTGTATAACTTGCACGAGTTCATTTGTTTGAATGCATGTGGACTTTATTAATAAGTATTTTCTTTGCTAGAGAGAAAAAAATTTTGAAAAGAAAATGAGAAAGAAAGGATTTATCATTAAGGAAATGTGCGAAGATGGGGCATGTATGTTTCGTGCTGTAGGTGGGTTGAATTTTTGTGTTTTCCGTCATTTCTCAGCTAGTAGCTCTTCACTTCTAGGTAATAAATATATTATATGTGAAATTGCAAATCATCCATATTTGTGTTTATGTAACTGATAGTTTTTCAAATGGATCAAGATCCAGTTACATAATAGAACACTACAGTACAACTTGTAGTATACTCAGTGGTCAGTACATTGAAATCTCTACAAAATATACCTATCACAAGTTTTGGTGTGTAAAATAAAATTTTATTCTCAACAGTTTTTTGTTTTGTTCTTTTATTTTTTAGCTGACCAAGTATATGGTGATCAAGAAATGCATTCAGTTGTCAGAAAACAATGTATGGATTACATGGTAGGTCGGAAATTTAATTTAAATAAATCATGTGTTGAATAATGTACACATATTATTGTTATTATTATATTAATTTGATCATGTCTGTACCTTCAAATCATAGCATATTCAGACATCTGTGTATTTGGAATGTTTTATTGCTGCATCAATTTTATTAGCCATAGATGAAGCTCATTTACTTTTTGTATTCAATGAAGCAGATTACCCAGTTGCAATATGTAGATCAAAATGGCTGCTAATGTAGATCTGCTATTGAATGTAACACAGCAGTGTAGCTTAGAAAGCTACTAAACCAGTTACTAGTGCCAGTAATTATTTGAAACTTACCAGGACATAATTATGTTATATAGGTTTGTTTTAATGACAATATGTTTATTTGCATGAGATAATGTACAGCTTACTGAGTTAAATATTTTATTTTTTATGCAGTTAACTTTCCATTTTCTATAGTTAATCATAGATATTTATGTACAGAGCTATTCAGGTACACTGGTATCACAAAATATAAGTTATTTTAATGGATTTCATACAGTGTTAAAAAGGTGACAACTCTTAATGCATTATCAGTAACTTCCGATGAAAACAACTACTTACATAGATCATAACTGAAAATGAACTCATTTGATAATAATGTAGCTACTTTAGTTTATATTGATCTCACTAGAAATATGCAATGGTATTAAAACAGAAACTTTATATGATTAGAATTTATTGATTCCTCATTTGTGTGCCCTTGCTGTTATGGTTATTTTATTGGGAAAGAAAAAACAGACCCACCTCCTTTCAACTTGCAGTTGTTTCAATAAAAGCCAAAACTAATACTTTTTAGAGTTAACTTATTGTAAGGTTTATTATTGATATCTTAAATGTTTTGTACATTCCATGGTCATAAGTTCAAAACAAATCAGTCAGTAACAGCATCAGTGTCTTTATTAAACTTAGTGTACATGTTCCAATTTTATAATTCATTTGAAACAAAAAAATCATTATTATCATAAAGAAGTTATTTTAATATTTTTGTGTATTTTGTATGGGCATTACTTATTTGTGTTTAACCCTTTCTATATGGGTCACAGATGAAAGTTCGTGTCATCTCATTTGTTGACTCACGTTGAAGATTTTATTGAACTACTATTTGATGAATTTATGTCAGTAAGTTTGGTATCAAACTGTAGATTATAATTCAAATTTTAGAAATATACATTACTCAATTTGTTAATTTAAAAACAAATATTAAAAAAACACAGATAAACATTGATTTTTGTGTATCACATGGTCTATTGAATGCAACACTGGTTCAAATTAGATGTTTGTGAAGTCAAAATACTAAGTCTATAGTTTCATATGAATTAGAAACTCAAATTACAGATATTTACAAGTTAGAATATAAAATAAGAAGGTCTTGTCTTTTCTAATTGCTAAGATATTGCTCATGTAATAAATCAAACATAGTGGTACTCCACTCACCTCCTTCCATTTTTGGAAATGCTCCCTTATAAACACTTACTTCTATGTATGACATAAATAACTAATCGAAAGCTTAGAATGTACCACTAGTGGTTTTCTAAGCCTTTCTAACGTACTTAGCATCATTTCTTTCTTTTAAATCAAGATTTCAATAAGCTAGGTTGTGGCTTTAGTCTGCTTGAAATTTAATATTTTTTTTAGACCCAAATACAGCTTAATTACTACGTTTGAGAAATTATAGTGGAATTCTGTGGTATTGATGTAGTAATTTATGATTTTTTTAGTCATCCAAAGGTATATATAAAACCTAAAAAAATATTTTATTTCATGTCCTCCATGTGCAAAATTGTCAAAGGCTTAGCAACCTACATTAAACAGCAACCGAGTACAAAGGTCATAACAAGAAGATATAATTGTTTGCTTTACTTCTTTATTTACTGGTCTATGTTTTAAGAAAAATAACTTTAAGAACTTATTTCCAACTAGCAATAATCTATATACATATATAATGGATATAATGGTGGCTGGTTTAGCTATTCATTCAGTCTCAACCTCCACCCTATATTTTCTTCACTTAGGGGTCTCTCTCACTTCTTTGTCTTTGTGACATGGAGCTTTTGATACCAGAGGTCTCATATGTCCTTTCATGCATGAGTCCTTTTGGGGGACTCTTTTCTTCTCATGAGTTTCTAGTTCCTTTTGGATGTGTCGATAGATATCCCCTTCAGTATCCCATGACACTGTACTTCACTCTTCCCTCACCTTACCCAGTTTGGTATCTGTTTGAAGCTCTCCAGGACTTGAAACTGTCTTTGGACTCCTTCCGCTTGCATATGTGAGATTCCATATCCATGGTAAATGTAGCACACTTGATATTGGTTTTGTGGTTGATGCCAACCAATTCTATGACCACAGCTTTCCACTGCCTTTCTTCCAGTGGGGTGTAGTTCTGGATGCCTGATCCAATTGTGGCATGTAGTTCCCAGAGGCAAGGTTTTTTGTCTTTACTTCCTTGAGCTGGTGGCTACTTGCAGGCTTGCCATCATCTTCTGTTTCATCTGTATGGTCTCCTTATCATGATCTATTTATAAACTTCTTTTGTTTCTTCCATCCCTCAACAGGGAGGTATTTGTTCATGGAATTATGGTTTTCCTGGTACTGGACTTTCTTTTTTTAGGTCCATGACTACCACATTCAGTTGTTGATCTATCAAGTCTCAAAATATTGGATCCTGTGACAAATCAACTATCTTGCTTAGACCTGAACCCCTCCAACAGTGTGTTTTCTCCATTCTCTGATGTTTTCAGTGGTATTGCTGCCTTTCCATCTCCCCTCCACTCCTTGTTTCTACTTATTTAGTATTCAATCTCAGACTCTACAGGCCATCTGTGTCTCCTTTGTGAGATCTTTCAGGTGGGGATATGAACAACCCCTGTCATATTAATGTCAATTTACTTACTCTACAGTAAGGTTTCACCTATACTGGCTTTCGTCTCCCTCCATTTGCCATTCACTCTTCACACTGGCTTTGATGGTGAGATGTTTATTTTTATCCATTCTTTTTTCAAGTCTCTTAACCACCTTATTCAACTTATATATTATAGAAGTAATGAAATCAGACAAGTAGCCAGTTTTGCATTACAGGGAATACTTACCCAAATCTTTCATCATGTGGGGAAATACAGAAAGTATTAAACCCATCCTACCCTGCTCAGTGCTCACTGTTAAGATGTGGTTTTTCACAAGTCTGAATTTATGGTGTCTATATATGTTACATCTTCAAGGCTGTTCTGCATATAACACAAAAAATTACAGTTTAAGTTTGTTCTTTCCCTTACACCTGACTCGTGCCTGGTGTTCTGTAGTTGTGGTAATCTATTGCACTGTCTCTCAGTGTGGAAACTAACTCCAGATTACTGTGCCTTATAACAACAGTCCATACATCTCTCAGGTGTTCTCCCACAAACAAGTTTTTTCCATTCTTCCACAGTCTCAAGCCATCAGAGAAGTCCATGTGCAGAGTATCAGACCAAGTGGGTGCACCCTTTGTTTGGAAAGTAGGGTTGGGATGTTACCTGTTAGTGTAGGTAGTACAGGACATCCCAGTACATCATGAACCAAACCATTTCCAATGAGTGGGTACAACTGTATGGGTCTTGTGTTCACAGATCTAGAATGCTGCTACCTGTACTTAATTTTTATAGTAAGAGTCTCGCATATTTCTACAAATGGAATAGCTTGACTTATACCTCTAGCTACACTACACATTCATGCTCAGTGTCTGGCTGCAAGACAATGGATGGTTGAGCAGCCTTCCATTCTGCCCACCTTAATGACACGTTAGCACTAAGCAAAAGATTATGTTGCTCTACCGTCTTTATTTAGTAAAAAGTATTGTCTGCTTGAGATGAATGCAGTCTCCCACCAAGTACAGTCAGGCTAGGCTACTCCCCATCTCATGGATGTCACATTCCTTCCCTTTCTCATGCTGTTTTCAAAAAAAGGAGCTCATATATGCAGTTTATTTGTAGTGGCCCCTCCACCATTTTCAGTGTGGGATTCTAGTTCTCTGTGTGTAGAGAGACGAGTAACATTTTTAAAGTTAAGATTTTTGTTATATGAAAATGTACATCGGATAAATACTCACCTCTCAGCACCATCTTCTGCACTTCCAGTACATTTAGTTTGCCTTGCTAAGAATGTGCTTGTGTTCATATGCTAGTACTTATGTCTATTACTGTGCATGGAGGATGTGTTTCCCTCCTTTTGATGGATGACTAGGGTTCTCAATAGGGCCCCACAGTGAAGGGTTTGGACTCTCAACTTTCGTTTTCAAGGGTTCCATAGGTAGAATATAATAAACACACACAAAAAAAAGAAAAAAAGCACTTTAGTGTCAATGAAAACCACTTTTTACATTGTGCACTACATGTTTACCTTCTGCAAGTGGAAAAGAACATGTTAATGTTCAGGGAAAAAATTTATTTATAATTTACACTGCATGTTGTTTCCCTTTATCAGATTTTTTTTACCCTAACTCTATATGAGGTTGGGTAAGTTAACTGACCTCATAACCACCATAAAAAATTAGGAAATAATTATAAATTTCCCATATTTTCTTTCTGGATTGACTACAAATTGTAATAGAAAACACAATTATACTGAAATTTTATTGTTTTATTGTCCTTTGAACTGTGTCTCGCTACAATTTGCTCCATATAAATTGCAAATCATGTGGTGAATGTGCAGCTCATGTTACTCACGGTATCGATTAACATAATGTATGGAGTACTCCAGGCATACCTCATAAAAATTATTATAGTTAATATTATTTATTTTACTTTATCTAACTTAAAAGTTTTAAATTTTTACATATTAGGTAGTTTTGTAATAATAAATATAGAATACACATCAAATACAAGAAATAAAAAATAAAGTACTTACCTGGATTTTTTATTATTTTTTTGCTATCAACTATCAATGAAATTTAAACCTACTTTTTTATGCCAATTGTACTACTCTATTAAGTAATTTTTATTTAACTAAATAATGCACCAAAGAACACAGAATGATACTATACGTAAAGGAGACAATGTTCCATAACTATCACAATTTTTCTGGCTGTGCTACAAAAGCTGTTAAAAAATCAATTAAACTCCTCGATATATATGTATATATATAAAATTTGAACTGAAAGTAAAATAGATAATTCTCTGTACAGACAACAATATAATATAAGACATCATTTGACAGAGAAAACTATGACTTTCTATTGGTTATAAATAATATAGTCTTAAATGTCAGAGAAAACTATTGGCAAGTTCTGAAAAAGAGGATGTGACAGGTGGGCATGGTAAGAGGGGTCTGATTTTCTACTTCATTGCTCTGTAACTAAACAAGGGTGAAAGCTATGTAAAATATTCTTTACCTGAGTGATGAAAACATTATAATGAGTAATTTACATTAAATTTCATACTTCTCGGAGGTGTGGTAGAAAAATTAGAGAAAAGGGAAGTCATTGATAACAAATGTCACAGTTATCGTACTAGGAGAGATTGAGAATTTCTTTTAAATATTTCCTTATAAAATTAAGAACTTAAATAATGCTAAATTTTGATTTATTATCTACATTCTGATGTTGAGTTTATTCATATAGATTGTTAGTAAAGTAGTTTAATTGAATTTTGGATGTAACTCTGTGAAAGGTTGTGACATGCGCACTTTGACCTACCCAAGGTGAAAGGGTTAATTAGTCATGAGGTACTTTCAGGTGGCTTTATTTTCATGCAATTTATTGTCATTGATGAAACCTGTTAGAAGTTGTTCATGGACAGCTGTTTATAAACTGTACACTGTTTAGTTTGTAATGGTACAGAGTTTAAAGCAAATTACTTGTACTTACCTTGCATATGGGGTGTTTTATGGTGCATATTGGTACCTGGGGTTCAAATCTCATGCATCGTGACAAATTCTCATGCATACGAGACTCGGGAGTTTGGGTTAATTATAACCCTAGATGACTATAGTGTAATGGTGATTACATAATAGCCTGTCACAGTATATGACAACATGTGTAGGAGTGGGAGTTTTGTTTAAGGCTTGTGGCATGTGTAGGAAGTTGCATGCCAGTGCACCTGAGTTAATGGCTATTAGTGATGCAGAGAGATATCTTCTGAAATATATTTATTTTACCTATTCTAGTCTTAAATAACTTAAAAGAAATCCACTCTTTTAATTTTAGTTACTTTTATAATAATAAATAAAGAATAAATATGATAAACAAGAAATAAAATACTTACCCTATCTTCTTTTTTCTTGCCCTCGATTGTTGATTGAGAGTTAAGCCTGTTTTTTTAGTGTATTATAGTAAAG